CATCCTCTTGGGGCTAAAGTTAGCCCTAAGCATGCTTTCTACTTCTTGATTTATGTATTTTTGAGGGGATTTGTATTGTGATTCATGTCTTGACACTTTTATATATATAGATCTTGTTTATTCAATGATTTATGTGGTTTAATGCTTCCAATTGATCATTTCATTCCATCCATATGTCTATTTATGCTAGAATAGATGTTCATGTGTTTGTCTCTATTTCTTGTGTTATTGATGCATGTCTATGTGTATTGATACTTTAGATCTAGAGATTATCAAGACATAGTGCTTAATGTCATGTTCTTGTGGTTTATTTGATGGTTCATACTCATTTCTTGATGGATTGTACCTTTCCCTTAGTTTAATTAGTTTAATTTCATGTCATTAGCTTAGTTGTAGTGTATTTGTTAAATGGGAGGACAATCCATGCTTATTGTTGATGTTCCATACTTATGAAAACAAGTAACATATATCTCTAACCTTGTGATGTGTTTGGATTATGAGCTTAAAGAAAGGATTAATGGCTTAATTTGATATGTTGTGCTATCCACCATGTTATTTAGACAATATATGCTTAATTTGTCATCCATACTTATTGAAACAACCACACACACACTCTTTGTTGCAATACATGCCTTTCCTCTCATTAATCATTCATTAAAGGTGTAGAAAAGGATGCTTAGTGGTGATCTCTAAACCCCAAGATCTCTCTCTTTTTTATTCTCTCTATTGCATTATTGTTTACTTTAGTTTAATTTGTATCTAGTGTAATCCAATCAACCAACCACTACTTTGATCACTCGACCGACTAACCCTAATCTTGATTCCTCAACCTAGTACGACACCTCAATCCCTTAGGACGATCCCTTCTCACTCATACTACATAGTATAGGTGTTAAGCGGTTTATAAATTTTAATTATGGTGCCCCCTTGACATTAATTTCCAAATTCAAAGTTTTGTACATTATTTTGTGCACACGCTCGCGTCGACACCATATTTCTTGGCTCTAGGCTCAAGTTTTCCTTCATTAACATGAGCATAAGCAGGACATCCAAAAATTCTTAAATTAGAATAATCAGCAGGAGTACCAGACCATACCTCTTCAGGTGTTTTGCACTCAATAGCAGTTGTTGGTAACCTGTTTACCAAATTGCAAGTTGTGTTGACTACTTCAGCCCAAAATCCCTTAGACAACCTAGCATTGAAAAGTATACAACGAGCTCTTTCTAATAGAGTTCTATTCATGTGTTCTGCTACACCATTCTGTTGTAGAGTCTTTCAAACTGTCTGGTGTCTGACAATGCCTTCATTTTTGCAGAAATCGTCAAACTCTCCCGAGCAAAATTCTAAACCGTTATCTGTTCTGAGATGCTTGATTTTCTTTCCAATCTGCTTTTCAATCATGGCCTTCTACTGCTTAAACTTAAGGAACACTTCATATTTTTGCTTCAAGATATAGATCCAGACTTTCCTAGAGAAGTCATCAATAAAAGTCAACATATATCGAGAACCACCAAGAGAGGGAGCTCTGGACGGACCCCAAAGATTTGAATGAATGTAATCAATAGTGCCTTTGGTCCTATGAACAGCTGTACTGAACTTGAGTATATTCTGCTTGCCAAAAATACAATGCTCGCAAAAGTCCAGCTTTCCTGTCTTCTGTCCACCTAGCAAACCTCGTTTGCTTAATTCTGTCAAACCCCTCTTACTCATATACCCTAAACGCATATGCCATAGATGGGTAGTTTCTAAATCTTGATCAACTGAAGTAGATACTAAAGCAGCGCCTGTCACAGTACTGCTTTACAAAAAATAGAGGCATTTTTCTCTGTTTTCCCTTAAGCATAGTAAGAGCACCTTTAGAAATTCTCAAAACTCCACATTCAGCTGAAAATTTATAACCATTAGAGTCAAGAGTACCAAGAGAAATTAAATTCTTTTTCAAATCTGGAACATGCCGAACATCAGTTAAAGTTCTAGCAATACCATCATGCATCTTAATCTGGATTGTGCCTATGGCAATAGTCTTATAGGGATTGTCGTTCCCCATTAAGACAGTACCACCATTAACAGAACGGTAAGTAGAAAATCAGTCCCTATTGGGACACATATGATAGGAACAACCAGAATCAAGAACCCATTCACTACTGGAGTGATAATCACTGACAGAAACTGAAAGAACATTTTCGACATCCGAGTAACTTTCCTCAGTAACCCCTGCAATATTAGAAAAATTACTAGTGGATTTATCCTTAGACTCCTTTTTATCCCTTTTATCTTTCTTCTTATTTTTTAATTTTGGACAATTCCACTTAATGTGCCCCTTTTGGTGACAATAATAACATTTAGTATCTTTATGAGACCTAGATTTAGATCTCGATTTGCCCCTACTACCATAGCCCTTTTTCTCACTTCTTCCCCTCATAATCAGACCCTCGGCCTGTTCATCTCCATTATTTCCGGATACCGTTTTTCTCAACTCTTGAGAGTTTAGTGAGGATTTAACATCCTCCATACTATTGATGACTTTTCCATAGAGCAATGTGGTAACAAAATGCTTATAGGAAGGAGGCAAAGAACACAACAAAATAAGGACTTGATTTTCTTCATCAATTTTAATATCAGTATTTTTTAAATCCATAATAATATAATTGCAATTATCAACATGTTCCTTAAGAGGCATACCTTCCTTTATACGAAGGGTGTAAAGTCTCTGTTTCAGGTAAAGTCTGTTGGTGAGAGACTTCGTCATGTACAGACTCTCCAATTTCAGTCATAACTTTGCCGCCGTGTCTTCATCAATAACTTCACGCAGCACCTCATCGGCAAGATTTAGGAGAATCGCATTGCGCGCCTTTTCATCGACCTCATCCTTGTCTTCATTGGACATAGTTTTTGGCAACTTGTCCTTCCCGAACAGTACCTTTTTTAGACCTTATTGAGTTAGCAGGGCCTGCATCTTGATACGCCAAAGACTGAAACTAATCTTGCCATCAAATTTCTCAATTTCATACCTGGTCGACATCTCAAAAAAAAACTCCCCCAAAAAATTCCTTGGTGAATAGTACCGTATTTGTGAACAGTACCTGAAAAGTATATGTGAACAGGACCGTATGTGTGAATAGTATGTGTACACAATACACGAACCGAGCTCTGATACCAGTTTGTTATGAAAAAAAAAAAAAAACAAGGATAGAGTAGGAGTTTATGAGAACAAGAGAAAAATAATGACAAGAAAATAAATGAAGCGCACACACAAACAAGATAATGATTTACGTGATTCGGCTGTGCTTACATCCACGGGGAGAAAACAGAACAATATTTCACTATAGAAATAAGGAGATACAATATTTAAGTGGATCACACCCAAAATCTAGATACATCCAAAATCTCACACACTTTACTTTGCATTTACAAGCAAATTACTCTCAAATTTTTGGATGATAGAACCATGGAGATCAAGGCTATTTATAGCCAAAAAAATGTCATCACTGTTCTTGCTACTTGGTGATCATGCATGCAAGCTGGACTTGGAGACCAAGAAAATTGCTTGTTGAGCACATCAACTTGGAGGCTAAGTATTTAGATGACATCGTGGGTGATGAGTGAGCCAAAAAGTCAACAAACGCTATTGAAAGAAAGAAATCAAAGGAAGAGTGGACCACCACGGAAGACAATAAGATGTACAACTCATAGTCTCTTTCATAGTCTTGATGTTATTTTTGTGGTTGACACCTATGCAATTATTTGGTGAAAATTGGATGGCAATTTTAATTAGATATTTGTGATCTGCGTTTTTTTTGCTTTATATATAAAGTCATCCAACTTGGCTCATTTTAGCAACTTTAGTTAATGTTACCCACAAAATACCATAAATGGTGGGGAAAGGCAACCAACCACTATAAATTGATTCTAATTTTGTTCCTTTTGTTATCATCTTTTTTTCATCTTAAATTGCTAATTTTGTAATTTTTTAAAAGTAAAAGCTTTAGGGTCTGTTTAGAAATAAATTTTTTATTTTATTTTTATAAACCTCGTTTTTTTTTTTTTTTTTTTTTTTTTTTTTTTTTTTTTTCGTGTTAACTATGAGACCACTATAATATGCTTATAATATGTAAATTGTTTATTATTTTTTTATAATATTCAAAGTGTGTTAATTTAAAACCTTATAATGTTCTCATGAAACTAAAATTATATCAGAGGTACTTAATTGAATCTATAAACAGCTTAGTATTGTTGGTCATAATCCCAATCTCATTACTTTCAAAGTAAGGATTATTAGCATTTCTCATTACTTTGGTCGTTCACCACAAAAAGTGTCGCGGAAAAGAGTGTCAAATTTCATGGTGAAAATTTGTGGGAGCATACGTGAAAAAGGCGTAGTGGAAAAAGTGAAGGTCTCTCACTTCAAAGCATTCTTGTTGTCCCAATCAATAGACCAGGTTAGGTGATGGATTCCATCCAAAGCCAGCTCATTTGCCTGCTCAAGATCTGATAACACGGATAACCTCTTTGGAAAAACTAAACTTACTGTAATTTTTTTTTGTTAATTCTTTCACCCATAAATATAAATCTAAGAAATTTAACTGATCCAATATCTTAACATCAGAAAGAATGAAATTACATCAAACTCTCTTATGATATGTCATAATTATAGAGATTTTTTTTATAATTTAAAATTTTATTTGAACCTCTCCTAAAAATAAAACTAATCTCCACGAATCTGAACTTCTCCCAAGGCGCATGGGTGCACCCAAACGAGACTACTTGTCCACTTGACCTTACTTGTCCACGTGACCTTATTGTCCATAATTAATGCAAATATTAAGAAAAAAATAAAAGGCGGTTTCAATTCTCCTACTTCAAATATGCATTATTGTCCCTCATGCATCATTGTGCTCAATTAGTAAGTGCATTCAATTACGGCCACACGGTATCAATGTAGTGTAAGAAATTGGTTAAACATCACCCGAATTCAATTATTGTCACTGACACTACCAAACAAAGTATAGGAAGTTTCGTGGACAGTCACAACATAAGCAAATTGCTCATCTTTATGTATAGTGCCAGGAAATTGCTAAGATTTGAACAGCCATCTAACTTGATGGCTAAGATTTTTTTGAATAGCATCTGTGTAGAATATATACACACTCTTGTTGCTCTCCAGATAAATCTCTAGCTCCCAGTAACTTGTCTCATTATTAAGCTAGGTTCCTATGGCTTCTTCTTTTTCTTCATCATCATCGCCGCGTGGATCTGAATATGATGTGTTCTTAAGTTTTAGAGGGGAAGACACTCACAAAACCTTTGTGGATCATCTCTACATAGCTCTGGTTGATAGAGGAATTAGGACCTTCAAAGATGACGAAAGGCTTGAGAGAGGAAAATCTATTTCTTCAGATCTTGTGAAGAATGTTAATGAATCGAGAATTGCTGTGATCGTTTTCTCCAAAAACTATGCGACTTTGTCATGGTGCTTGGACGAACTAGTGGAGATCCTTAAGTGCAAGAGGACCAAGGGACAGATAGTTTTGCCCATCTTCTACGACGTGAAAACATCGGAAGTTCGGTACCAGAAGAAGAGTTTTGCGGAAGCATTTAGAAAGCATAAAGAAATTCATAAGGTGGAGAACGAAACGATGCAAAAATGGAGGGACACTTTGAAGGAAGCAGCAAGTCTAAGCGGCTTAGATCTACAAGATGCAGCTAATGGGTAATATATATATATGTTCTGCTTCTATATATGATCAGTTATTACTAGCTTAGTTCAATATGTATATATACATTATTTTATTGGTTTGTGATAAAGAGCAGCAACAACTTTATAGATTTTTAACATCACAATGCAGTCTCATATCTTAATTGACTTCCCTTTATCTGATGGCAAACTTCATATTTAAGCAGGGCATCTATTCTGTTACTAACATGATGACACACTCTTATCGAATGGAAGTCACCGTATTCAAATGTCATTTTATATCTATCAAATGGGTTGTTACTTCTTAGAAGTATTTTTTTAAACTCTAATTTTTTTTGGGGGGACTTTAATTTATAATGAGTAAATACTTATTTCAACCTTTATATATTTCTCTCTGTTTTTCCTTTTTGTTTTTTTCCTTCTCAAGTCTTTGATTTTAAAGTGCTTTCTACTTAACAGGTACGAAGCTAAGTTTATCAAAATTATTATTCAAGATATTTCAGAAAAATTGTAGCCTAAACCATTCAGAGTTGCTAAGTACAAAGTTGGTATCGATGCACGCGTGGACAAAATCATTACATTGCTAGACCAAGATCAATTCTTTGTTGGAATTTGTGGAATTGGAGGAGCAGGTAAGACCACCGCTGCCAAAGCGGTTTTCAACCATAAATCAAAAGATTTTGAAAGAAGTTGTTTTCTTGAAAAAGTGAGACAAGAGTTAGCAAAAGATGGTGATCTAGCTAAACTACAAACCAAGCTTCTCAGGGAGACCCTAAGGGATCAAACTATAACAATATCAGATCCTGATAGGGGAATCAATGATATAAAGGATAGACTTGGTAATAAAAGGCTTCTTCTAGTGCTTGATGAGTAGACGACCAAAATATATTGGAGAACTTAGTTGAATAGGAATGGTTTGGTCGTGGTAGTAGGGTCATCCTAACAACTAGAGATAAACGATTGTTGGAAATGTACAATGTTACAACATACGATCTTGAGTTATTAAATGAGAGTGAAGCACTACAACTTTTTAGTTATCATGCATTCAAACGGGAAAATTTTGAAGATAATCATGAGGAACTTTCACACCGTGCAAAAGATTATGCCAAGGGCCTTCCACTTGCTCTCCAAGTTTTGGGTTCTCTTTTACACAAAAGAGGAAAACAATACTGGTCACGTATATTGGATAACTTGAAGACCAGCCCTCCCAAAGAATAAGAGGAAAATGTTTATCGTGTTTTAAAGATTAGTTATGATTGCCTTAATGAGGAAGAGATGGATATTTTTCTTGATATCGCGTGTTTCTTCAATGGATGCCATAAGAAATATGTCATAAATGTTTCTAAGTTGCCTGAATTTGACGTGGTCAATGGAATAAAAATTCTTAGTGAGAGGTCCCTCATTAATATATCAAAAGGCAATGTGGTGTTAATGCATGACTTGATATAAGAAATGGGCTGAGGAATTGTTCGTTAAGAATCTAAAGAACCTGGAGAACACAGTAGGCTATGGTCTTGTGATGACATCTGTCATGTATTCGCTGAAAATATGGTACGTGTTAAAGGTATATATGTTATTTTTCTTTCTACGTGCAAGATTTGCAAACAAAGAAAGTTTCTTGTATTGTATTTTACTTGTAGTCTTCTTTGAAGTAGTAGTATAATTATAGTTAGGTTCTTATTTCTCTTGGTTAATAGGTGATAGAAAAAATCGAAGCTATTATGCTACCCAAGAATGGATTATCTTTAGAGGGAGGGTTGCATGTAAGAGCTGATGCGTTCACAAAGATGAGGAAGCTACGAATACTCAAAATCAATGGTGTGCGGCTTGATGGGTTCCTTACAGATCTTTCAAATGAGTTAAGGTATATTAAGTCGGACGGCTATCCCCAAGAATATTTTACATACAATTTTCATCCAAAAAGACATGAGGTACTCCATTTACCTAATAGCCTGATCAAAGGGATTTGCATGAATTCAAAAGTAAGATAATTAATTTGCTCCCGCCGTTTCCCTTTCTATTAAAATTTTCTCTTTCGAATAAAATAATCTTCTCCACCTAATTGAAGCTGACTTATTTTTTTTTATATTATATTTTTTAACAAATTCTAAAGATGTTAAAAGTACTTAATCTCAGTAACTGCCCAAATTTGGTAAATCCAAATTTTCTAGAGTTCCCCTTTCTGAAGAATTTGAATCTTAAGGGTAGTGACAATTTGGTTGAGGTTGAATTTGAGGTAATGTTATTATTTAAGGTGCATTATTTTATCAAGTTGCTTGAAGAAGATTTATATCACAAGTTTTTTTTTTTTTCGAACAATATTTATATCACAAGTTTGTTTGCAAATAAATGTTACAATGAAAAAATTGTCAAGAACATCTCCAGATTCATGGGGCATAGTTAAAAGAATGTCCATGTAAATAATAATTATGATAACTATTATCATAATTATAATTAAATACATGAGCCTTAGGTTCATCACAGAACATTTTAAAAAATCTATGATTTTTCATAAGAAAAAATAAAAACCAGATTTAAATTAGATACTATGTCAATTCATTAAGTAAGACGGTTCTTTGTATGAGTTGATTCAGTTTCATTGATCAACAGTTCACTTCTAGTTCCAAACGTAGTCAGCATTTAGATGTCAAAAAATAAAAAAATAAAAAAAAATTCTATTGAACCCTAATGCGTGCATATATATATATATATATATATATATATATATATATATACTTATTTATTTTGATTTGATAACTTTTGTTGTCGTAGGCTTACATTAAATATGTTAATACCTGTTTATTTTGATTTGATAACTTTTGTTGTCGTAGGCTTACATTAAATATGTTAATACCTGTTATATATATATATATATATATACACTTATTTATTTTGATTTGATAACTTTTGTTGTCGTAGGCTTACATTAAATATGTTAATACCTATTAGATTAGAAACTAGGAACGCAATCTCAAATGGAAAATTGAGAAATATTTTATCTACATCATAGAAATTATGTTTATATAAGGCTTGATTTAAGTTAACCTATTATTTTTTGATTTTATTTTAGGATGAGCTCAATTTGTGAAGCTGGCCAATGCAAATTGTTTTTGTACAATCCAGAATGGTTCAGTTTAGGTTGTTTTTGGGTTGCTGATTTCAATTTATTCTTAAACAGTTATGATGAGTTTGGTTCTATAATTTTACCTTCTATACCAACTCAAACTGAAGCACACATCCGATGTTTTGGTCAAATCGGTAATAGACAAGGAGGCAAAATTTTGTTGGTCATTTGATTAGAATGAAATAGTATGAAATAGAAGGAAAGTAATTTAGTCATATTCAGCTAACTTCATTTCTTAAGAAAATTTTATGAGGTTATAATATTGTACTTTATTTTCTTTCAAGTTTCAAGTATTCTAAACTATGACATGGTATTTTTTCTAATTTTCTTTAAAAAAATTATATACTAATAAATTGCACATTGGAAAATTTATTTTCTTTACATTTACTCACTTCCTCTTACTTTTACTTTCACCTCTTACATTTCATTTAGCTATACACGACTGAATGCAACTTGAAATAAACTAATTGAACAAATGGTCTTGATCTAGTGATTGTATAATTTCAGTAACTTTCTCTTTCCCAAGTCTTTTTATTTTTCTTAAGTCTATTTTTTATTTTCTAATGTGAGAGAAAGAAAAGGAAAAGGAAAAGGAAAAGGAAAATTGAAAACTAAAGGAAACATGAAACTACTTGTAGTTGTCTTGTGTTTTCTATCTGGATTTTCTAATGAGATGAGAAGATTAAAAGTTAATGGTGAGGTTGTTACTTTAAATACATTTCCCCTTTTGTTGGATAATTATATTTTAGTTGATTGTAGTTAATTTCTTTTATTTTTTAATCGTTTGATTTAGGAGTTTCAAGATAAGTTAAATTTCGTTAATCTACGCTACTGCAAAAATTTGAAGAAAACTCCTAATTTGTCAAGGTTGCCATGTTTGGAGATACTGGATTTTGAAGGTTGTACAAGTCTAGTTGAGGTTCATCCGTCTATTGAATTTCTTGAAAGGCTTACTTGGTTGAGTTTCGAAAACTGTAAAAATCTAAAGAATCTCGCAACAAGAATTAATTTATAATCTCTTAAAACTCTTTATCTGATTGGGGGCTCAGCTTCAAAATTTTCTTCTCTTGGTATCTGGTGGAATTCGATTTGATCGAATCCATGGGAAGTAACTACCGCATCCTCTTTGTATTCTTTCATTCTTTTTTCCTTTGGCTGGTATTTCCCTGTCACCTGGTTCACTAAAAGCTGTGAGTTGCAAAAAATTTTCAGACATTTTACTTGAAGTTGCCTTGCCAACCGAATTTCGACTAACAAAGATTCGTATTCGTCTTCGTTGTTGTTAGTAGGGAAATCCAGAAGAATTGATTGCTACAGCATAGTTCCTTCGGGAGTTTTAATGACGATTCCTACCCCTGCGCCCGTCGGGTTCGAGGAGCCATCAACATAAAGTTCCCATGGTAGTTATGAGGGCTCCGGTTCTTCACGCTTATCCTCGTACTCCAGGAGGAAATCGGCCACGGATTGTCTTTTGTGTGAGACCTTCGACTTATAGGCGATGTCAAAGGAGCTAAGTTCAATAGCCCATTTTTGTGATTCTTCTGGATAGTTCTGGTTTGGATAAAATGGCACGTACCAGATAGTTTGTAAGAACCACGATGCGATGGGACTTGAAATAGTGCCTAAGCTTTCTTTTGGCATATTAATAGGGCTAAAGAAAAAATACATATATCAAGGCTAATATGATCTTCTCTGTTTTGATGTACTATGTTTCGGCGTCTATTATGGTCTTGCTTGTGTAAAAACTAGATACTGCTTTCCTTCTTCCTCCCGAATTAATGCCGCGCTTATAGCTATATTAGAGATTGCTAGGTACATGATGAGAACCTTATTAGGTTTTGGCGCAGATAAAATAGGAGGGTTGGCCATATAGAGCTTCAGCTTTGTGAAAGCCTCTTGTTGCTGTGGCCCCCAAATGTTCTTATCTTTTGCCCGTATAGCATCGAAGAATGGCTTACATTTGTCTGACAACAGGGATATGAATCGGCTGAGCACTGCTATCCTACCTGTTAAGACCTGCACGTCTCTATGGGTTTTCAATTCTTGATTCTATACTAAGGCTTGGGCCTGAGCTGGACTTGCTTTGATTCCCCTTTTGTTAACGATATGACCGAGAAATTGTCCTGATGATACAGCGAAGGAGCATTTAGAATGATTCAGCCTTATTTTATACCTTTTTAAAGTATTGAACACCTCTTAAAGATGTTCAAAATGGTTTTCTTTCTTCTCTTTTTTGACCACCATGTCATCGATGTATGCCTTTACTGTTTTTCCCAACATCTCGTTGAAGATCTTGTTGACGAGGCACTGGTAAGTGGCTCCGGCATTTTTAAGTCTGAAGGGCATGACTTTGTAACAAAAAGTTCCTTTCTCTGTTATGAAGGATGTTTTCTCTTCATCCTCGGGATTCATGGGGATTTGATTATATTCGGAGTATGCATCAAAGAATGTAAATCGCTCATAGCCTGTAGTAATGTTTACCATTTGGTCTATCTTCGTTAGTGGAAAGCTATCCTTGGGATAAGCTTTATTGAGATTGGTGAAGTCTATACACACCCTCCACTTTCCATTTTTCTTCTGTACCACCACCACATTTGATAGTCAATTAGGGTAATGAACTTTTCTGATGAAGCCTACCTAAAGTAACTTATCCATTTCTTCAGCAATTATTTGGCTCCTTTCAAGGGCGAATCTCCGATGGTTTTGCTTAACTGGTTTGAACGAAGGACTGACTCTGATACTATCATATGAGATCGACAGATTGATCCCTGGCATATCCATGTGGCCCCAAGCGAATGCATTCGTGTTCTTCTGAATGATACTGATCAACATTTCCTTTTCCTCGGCTGGGAGGGAAGATCCTATATAAGTAATTTTTTGTGTATCGCTTGGGACAACTTCGATGGCTTTAAGTGATTCTTCAGTGGACCTTCGTTGCTCTGCCTCTGTTAATAAACATCTAGGGAAGATGGTTCTATAATTGTTATTTAACAGTGTCCACGTTTGACTCGTGTAGTTTGTTGCCCTTCTGTGCTTCCTTTATTATTACCATGTAACACTCCTTAGCCGCAACTTGATCTCCTCAAATGTTAATGACTTCTTTACCTTTCGGAGATAAGCATTGCATTACCTGATGCAGAGTAGATAGAACCCCATTCATTCGATGAATCCATCCTCTTCCCATGATCAGGTTGTAAGAGGGATGAATTTATATTAGAATGAAGTTCTCCTTCAATATTTTTTTTATATAGCAGTGACTGGTAGATCTATTACACCGATAGGGTTCAATTTTGTTCCATCAAATCTTAAAAGTGTGCTGGACGTGGTCCTGATGGATGATGGTGGGATCTCCATTCGTTAAAAAGCTATTTTTGTTATGATGTTGGCACTGCTGCTAGGGTCCACCAGGACCCTTTTGATAAGGCAATTTGCCAATAGGAGGTTAATGACAAGTGGATCTTCATAGGGGAGTTCCACCCTAGATAAATCTTCATCTCCGAACTCGATCCTGATACTGCCCAATGAGATGAAGTTAACCAAGGATTGGTGGTTGATAGATGTTTACCAATAATAATCAACACTTGCAATAGCACAAATCATTGTAAAATAGGGCTATCGTAAGGGTAAGTCGAACCACAAGGATTGCTAGTTTATGGAAACCAAGGTTGTAAAATCACTTTGTTTGATGAAAGAGGTGTTTAAGGGTTGTTTTGTTTGTCACTTAGAACTAGGAAATAAAATTTGCATAAAATAGTAAATGGAATGAATTTAAAGTGAATTAAACTTATGTAGAGAAAGTTAGGGAATTGAATCCACCACACACCTCATATATATGCTAGCTTGCAATTAACTTGGGGAACTACTTATGTATATAAGCATGATATGTAGAAATGCATGATAATTACACTATCTTCAAGTAGTTTATACGATTAAGAGCTAAGTATAAACCATCTATGGTTGGCAAGGTTTATCTACCTAAACTAGGTTGTAGCATGAGCCTTCTTCCCTAGGAATGGCTATCAAATCTCTTACCTTGCATGGTAAATGCATATGTAGTCAAAGACTAAGCATAATCCATCTACGGTTGGCATGAACCATCTACTTAACTACATTACACTATGGGTGTAGTATGATTCATCTTCCCTAGGAATGGACTATCAAAACCTTCATAAAACATGCCAAGAAAACCTTTGCATAATCGCTCAGTGCTCTTGGTTGCCGGACGGGCATTCAGCTGGCTTTGGATGAGCGTTCGGTGCTCTTGGATGAGCGTTCGGTGCTCTTGGTTGTCGGGCGAGTGTTCAGATGCCTTTGGGCAAGCGCTTGGCTGATGAACAAGCGCTCGGCTCTCTTTGGACAAGTGCTCGGTACTTTTTTCGGATGCCTTTGGACAAGCGCTCGGCTGATGGACAAGCGCTCGGTTCTTTTGGAGGAGTGCTCGGCATTGTCTGTATGAGCGCTCGTTCAGTGAATGGATGAGCGTTCTACATGGCTTTGGATGAGCGCTCATTCGGTGAAAGGACGAGCGTTCTGCATGGCTTTAGATGAGTGCTCGTTTAGTGAAGGGACGAGCATTTTGCATGGCTTTGGACGAGCGCTCGTTTAGTGAAGGGATGAGCGTTCTGCAATGGTTTTCTTGGCATGTTTTATGAAGGCTTTGATAGTCCA